CTCCGATATGAAATCAAAAAAGTTGTCCAAAAAGGATTTGGGTTAAGCTGTTGTCCGGTATAAAAATGTGTGTATTTTTTAGGCGCTTGTAAAGATGTAATATGACCTTCGCTAATACAGAGTTGTAATACAAAGATTAATACAAAGATTTCAACATTTAGTAACTGGTTTTTCGTATTTATGTGTTTGTGCGCAATGATTGATGCATAAACAACAGTTTTTTTCTTGGTAGTTGTATTGATGAAAAAGGAATGTTAGCAATCAGATCAGGATAACAGAACATTTTGAAAAATTAAACTAATTTTTGGTAAACACAGTTACAACAGTTACTGGTTGCTGTCATTTAGCTTCTCCCTCCCTGGATTTTTTACACCTTGTTCTTCACTTCGTTTCCTTCCTTTACAAAACCAACAACTATATCAAGCAATCATTGCAGCAAAGCATGTATCATAATTTTAGTGAATAAAAAACCAGAACTTATCGGCAAAGAATAGCAAGCTTGATTGATTTCAATTATTGCTGACAATACAGTTAACTATCTGAATAGCAACTACCGTTTTTTAGATGTTGTGTTGACGCAAAGATTTGCTTAAACAATTAATTTAATTGAAGTTTTATGGTGACGACATGGATGTAAGCGAATATTTTCAAGACATATTGCTTCTCAATTGTTGTTTTGAAGCCGATAACAAAGTAGATTTGAAGCAACAAGTTGTACCCATTCATCTGTTTGTTTTTTGACACTGATAATTTGTCACCTTTTCGCAATTGCACTTTAAAAATCTTCACAGTTTTGCCTTTTTGCAATCAAATAAGCTATTGTCATCACCATCATCACCTTTATTCTCGTCGTTAAATCAAAGCCACTTATAAATTCATTACAAACAGTATCGTTGATGATATCTTAGCTATTCAGCAAGCAACAGTTATTGGAATCATTAAACGGTACAGTTTTGCTGTCACCATTATCGTCATCATCGATGTACTGGTAGCACAACTATCTATTACTAGAAAATTGGCTATCAAACAGAATAGGATGAGAAAAAAAAGAGCTTTTTTTTGACAGACTTATTTTTTGTTTACTTAAAGATAGAGAAAAGTGACGATTAATGAAGAGGTAAAGATAAAGCCAGGCAGTAAGAGATGAAAGAACTTTTTCCGAGAAACAGTAAAACTGGTGCTTTAAAGAGATTTCAGCTTTAGCTCAACGATTTAGTTCTGCTTTGGAGACAGCTGGAAACTTTCTGTGCATTCTTTTGCTTCAAAAGCTTATTTTACTCTTCTTCAGCATTCAACAACAACAAAAAAAGCATTTTTTTTCCTTCTTTAAAGATTTTTACTGTTTTTTTCTTTTCTTCTACAATTTTTTTGCTCTATTCATAAATATCGTTATCCTTCACTTAAACAGCAACTAATTATTTCTTTTTGCCAGTAACGTATGTAGTTGGCAGTATGTTACAATATTACACCTGCGACATTTAAAGAGGCCAGTTGGACAGTTACGAAAACTTTCCTTACAGCTTCTTACACTTTTTTAGTTAGTGACTTTTAGACACTCAATTTTTTAAGTTCTTAGACGTCGGCAAAGTTGTATCGATTAACGTTTCTTCAGCTGTTAACTGAGGAAATCATTGAATGCTCTTGGCTTGAGCAGAGTCGCTCAGGCAGTTTACTTCAGTTTTTGAATGGCCAAAATATCTTTGAGAGTTACAAACCAAACTATTTAATTTCACGTCTGTTTATATATTAAAAAATTAGTTATTTACATTCCAATCGTTCGTTTTCTTCACCAAATATAATTTTCGTTTTGGTGATTAATGATGGAAAATTTTATGGCCATTTTACTATGGTCCAGTTACTTTACTACACTTTCCTCAATGTTGTTGTCATTTTTTTCTTCTTGTTGATGTAATGATTTGATATAATATAATACAAAAAAATAACTGTAGTAATGTATAGTAAGAAGATATTTTTATACATACACTCATATATAAACTTACATACACAGACACACACATATGTACCACACGTTGCACACGCATATATACACTTAACTTAACTTAAATCAGAAGAATTACATTAGACGGATCTTAACATCGAAGACTGAAGTTGCTGTAAACAACAAAGTTTAGATTTATGTTGTAAAAAAATTTTTTTTTTGTTAGCCATTAACATCTGTAAACTTTATAGCACTTGTTGTGCTCAAAATTATTAACTGAGATGAACAGTTTACTTGGTAGTAGCGGCAAATATGATGTTACGTTGAAAAAGCAGAAAAAAAAAAGAAAAATAAAATGAAAAAATAGTAAAGAGTTTGGGTTTTTTATCTTTGCTGAGCAAGTGGCAAAACATAACTTAGCTCTTGAACTTATCTGAAGTTGAGAATACGTTTCAAACACCTTAAAAAATTTAGATCCCTAATGAGATTTGACTAACTGTATGAAAGAGTGTGTGTGTATGTATGTGTGTGTTTGTGTTTGTGTGTGTGTGTGTGTGTGTGTG